GAGGGGCGGAGGGGCGGAGGGGTCGGTCATGGTGGCGAGAAGGGCAAGAGCGGTAAGTGCGGTGCGCGGGTTACACAGAAGCGGTGCCATAAGGGCTGCTGGGGGAGGAAGCCGAGCGGGCGGGTTCGAGGGAAGTCGCTGGTTTCGCATTTGACGGATCAGCGCGCGATGGATTTGCGAGCGATGTCTGCATGAATATGCATCGCCCGTCAGCGCGTCTCGCACGCGCGCCACCCAGCGAGCCACCGTCGCGAAGCGTGCTCGACCGGAGTTGGGGAGCTCGACGTTTGGGGTTTCGACGATCTGGCGGAGGACGTGTAGCGGGCGAGACGAAGAGGCTTACGAACTTGCCACTTTACGAATGAGGACTGAAAAAGTGCGTATTTAAAATTTCACTATCACACGCACTCACTCCATAAAAGGTATCTTTGATTCGTTTTGTATGTGCAAATGATGTTTGCAATATTGACACAATTACTCTATGTGTACGTAATGATGCGATTAGAAATATTTTCAGCAACGAAGAAGCGCTGCATCATGGTATTTCGCCAACATTTAAGCCCAGCATCTGGAGCGTTGGGATAGTTATCCATTGCGCACACACATAATTATTTGTACTGAACTTTCCATAGTTTTATGTTTAGTAGTGCAACCTTGGTAACTTCGAATGGTTTTGTAGCGCTTTTGTATTTTGAAGCTTCGTTTATTTTAAGATACATTTATCAACCAAGTTTAGATAGTTCGTTATGTACAAAACATACTCACGTGTCTTGCATCTTAGTGAATGACAGGCATTTTCTGTATGTTATATTTATAATAATAATAATAATAATAAGAAGAAGAAGAAGAAGAAGAAGAAGAAGAAGAATTTTTCGTACATTAAATGCAGTGTACTCAATAATGCCACAATTTATGTTTGTGATCCATTGCGTGTAATTTATCAGACTGGTTTGCTCTTATAAATTCTTATAGAAAAAATATCTTACACTCAAAGGTTGTATCGAATAAATACTTCACAATAATTCATACGATCATAATTTATGCTACTTCGCAAGCCGAACTTGCATCTGCTATCAAGAGATAAAATACAAGTTACTTAAGTTGTAAATATATGTATCAAAATTGTACATGGGAGTTCAAACGGGACTGATTTTTTTTTACGAAATACTTTATTAGCAAAAATGTACTTGTGCATGTCATTCTTCAAAGTACTCCCCTCCAGACTCTATACTTTTTTTCCAACATTCTGGGAGTATCCTAATGCCCTTTTGATAAAAGTCTTTTGGTTGTCAGCATATTCACTTCCGAACACTGTGGATGACCGCGTCATTATCCGCAAATCGCATGCTTTGCAAATGTGATTTAAGCTGTCCAAACAGGTAAAAATCACTTGGGGCCAAATCTCAACTGTACGGCGGATTTGGAAGAAGGTCCCACTTCAATTTGCTGATGGTTGCCATGGTATTTTTAGCAGTATGAGACCGTGCATTGTCTTGAAGGAATGCTATCCGTTTCCCACCTCTCTTCCTTTTGGATCGGATCTTTTCTTTGATTTCTGTTTCCAAAAGTGCTGAATAATAAGCTGCATTGATGGTTTTATCTTCTGCAAGAAAGTCTACATGGATAACACACTTCAAGTCCCCTAAAGTTGCCATCACTTTTCCCGCAGAACGGTCATATTTGAACCCCCTTGTATATTATTTACAGAAACGTTTTTATCAATCGTTAGCAAAAGGCGTATTTTCGATCCATTTTACACATACACACACACATACACGTTCATTCACGCTCAATACAAGCGAATGCACACAGATGATCTCCCCCATAAATCATATAGAGTTTGAACTGCTTTTTGACTAAATCTAAATGTATATCTAAAATCACATGCATTCCTGCATAACATGTATGTACGCATATGCATACACTCATATTCAGACACATATACACATACACACATACAAATGCATAATTGTACTTACACACAAATGCGCGTACAGAAACTTTTATATTATGCAAGGAACGAAAACAAGCTGCAAAACTAAAGAAATGCAAAATGCAATTAAATCTAATTCGCTTTCAAGACTCCAGAGCGGCTTCTTTCCAGATGATTGAATAAATCGGCCTCTTTTTTTTAAAAAAATAGCTATTGCTCATTTAGAAGAAAATTTTATAGTGTCAAGGAGAAACCTTTCCTTGAAACCCCTTCCTTGAAATTCTCTTCTCCTTTAGTCCTGAGAACGTGATTAACGTGGCGGAAAACAGTGTCTCGTGTCGTGGTGACGTAATTTTTCACGCCTCGGAAGAATATAACCCAAAGCTGGTGACAGAAAATTGAATAGGCGGTCCCAATGAGAGATGCCATCTGAAAACTAGTGGTGTTGCAAAAGCACGTACGTTCTGGCTTGGACTTTCTTGTCCGTACTGTTACGCAAAATTACGCAAAAAGTACTCAAGTTTTGGAAAAACTGTTAATTACCTTGTTTCAAAATCTGTTCTTAAGGAACAGATTTCATTAACGGAAAAATTGATATTTAATATTTTAGTTGAAAGAAGACTACGAAAAAAAAATGAACTCTTGAAGTTTTGGAAAAATCAGACTTTCTCAACGAATCCGCACCATTCTTTTAAACGTCCTTCGCACAATCCTACCACAAAATTTAATCCAAATTTTGTTTGGATATTTGTAAAATGCCCCACGGGTTTGATGTAAAGTACACCCTCAAAATCAAAATATTGGTTTCAAATTCAAGAGGCCGCGGCATCAGCCAGATTGATCAAGGACATACATTTTGGATAAAATTGGCTGAATGGTTTAGTCGCTAGTGTTATTCACAAACAACCCGAAAAACGTTTGGCTGTCATTCGATTTTTTGGTATCAAGGATCCACAAAACAAGATAATTTTCTTTTTAAATTAAGCAACTGGATTTTTCCGCCTTTTTGTTGTCAGGGTGCAATGCAAGTTTTACTGCCGGAAATTCGCCGTTTTTTCGTGCAGCATTACATAACTTTCTCTCTCCTCTATAGCGAGTAAGTGAAAACGTTATTTGTAGAGAACAAAATCACTATAAACACGAAAGCATATTACAGGGTGCAATTGCCTAGGCGAAGATATATTTCTATTTTTTAAACGTCTGGTTTGCATGATCTTTTGAATTATCTCAAATATACGTAACAGGAATACAACGGATGTTAAGCATCACCGAATACTGTATATGAAATTAATGATTACTGTAAATTGAAATTTACATCTAGCATGACACGTTCAATCATGAGACGCACGCAGGGATACCTGAATGCATATGTAAATATTTTATGTTACATCTACACCTTTCCTGCATGTTTGTCTTCAGACCGATATGAGACGCAAAGATGTACATAGATTTCGGGACCGCCGATCTATTCCACGTGTTCTGATTGGTATTTTGAGTACTCCCAGGGTTGGACGGTATTTAAATACATGTATTTGAAATAAGTATTTTAAATACTTCTTATTGGGAAAACAGTATTGTTTAGTTTTATGGACATTCATTTTGGAGATCTATTTTAATACGTAAAATGAGAGTATTTGAGAAAATATTTAAATTTATTAAATACACATGAAATAGAAGATAATGAGGATAGTTCCTTTTTGTTTGATTTGGCTACTGAATGCAACTCATTGAAACAATGATTAAAACTCGTTTCAGCTGTTGAATTTGAATTTCCTTGGCTTCTAAATGATAAATATTTTAATCATTAAAAATTCTGGACATCCGACTGGACTGGAATTCATTCCACAATAAAAAAAGCTTTTATTCGATATAACACTATGTTCATCCGTGCTAGTTGAACGTCTGTTTTCCTTTGTGGGTTTTATACATTCGCCAACTAACGTTTTACTGCTTAATGATTTGTTTGAAAAATAAGTCTTTTAAAATGATATTCCGTTTATATGAGTAAGCCATTTTTATATAATTTTAGATTTGAAATTGTTCATACATTGTAAGTCTGTCAATTACTAGTATATAATTGTCAATTACTACATATTGTTGCAATAAAAAAGTTATAATATATTATTTTATTTACTGTAATTTGAGTATCTGATGTATTTAAAATACGTATCTGTTTAGCAAATGAAAATCTAATATATTTTGAGTAAATATTTAAATACTGATTTATAAAGTATTTTGGTTAAGTATTGTAAAATACTAAATTTAAAGTATTTTCCCTACTCTGTTTACCTGTCTATTCATGTAACAGTTTCATAATCCTTTTATAGACACTCACTTATGTTCACTTCTGACGAACATTTACGGATTCTGGCCCTTAGTGCGAAAGCACATTGAGGAGTAGAACGCTGAGCCAGGAGATATTGGAAATTCTTCTCCCATGGTGTCAACGAGACGGCGAGGGCTCGACTTAAATAACAATACAATGCGACCGACCCGAACTCCATACATCACGCCGATGACAGTTTGCGAGTCTTCCCGACCCACTCGGCCCCCAAGTGGAGAATTGCGTTTTATTTAGGGGAGCGGAGAGTCCTTCCGCCCCGAAACCCCAGGCGAAAAAGGAAAGTGCACTTCGTTGTCTCCTCAAGAGTTGACGCAAAGCAAATAAAAAAAACGAAGCGTCCGAGAATCATTCCGTAAAATATAGGCTGTATTTCAACGCAAGGTGTTTAAAAAGTGGGAAGGATTGTAAAAAAATATGAAGGGCAGTTTAATATTCATCTCTTCATTTTTAATGTTTTCAATCATGTTCTGTACAATGCCTATTTCATTATTAGTTCTTTAAGTCCTTCTCAAGTTTCAAAATTATATAAGTATAATGTAAAATAGATCGACAAAGCAAATGAAAAAGATTCGCTTGATTGAATATTTCGTGTTTCCGAGCACGGTAACTGCTACATTCATTAGTTCCGTATGTTTAATGCCTTTGTTAATTACGAGAGTTGTCTTTTTTCTTCTCCCACTGAATGAAAAGATTTGGCGCTGACCTACACATCTGTTTGCGGGCTTTTGCCCGTGCAGGATCCTTCCATCAGGCGAACTCCGCTCCAGCCGAACTCCCGACACGTGTACTGCACGTAACTGTATGTAAGGGGTAACGATACGACAAGGAAGAAGTAGATATCGCGCGCGGTCCTTGGCCCAATTGTTAGGGTACTGCTCCGGTATTCCCCTAAAGGTGATCGGAGAAACCACGGAAAACTACCGAGTATGGCTGTCTGTCTTTAAAATTATTCTCCAGACGAGGGTGAATTCGACCTAGTTATCTAGCATTGACGAAAATCCGCTAGCTTTCGTACTCCAACTCGAGAACCTGCAGATGAGAGGCATGGCAATGACTTCAGTGATGACCTGTGCCATTCAGCTGGTAGTGCATTCGAAATCTATTGCTATTTTCAATAATTTCAGTTAACAAATGCAATTTATGGAATGGTAATAAGCAATAAATTACATTGCGTCACTTTATTGAGGATATGACAAATATTTTAAGAATTCTCTCACTCCTGTGCCGTGCCAAATAAAAAGAAAATAGTTGAACTCCACCATCGCAATCTTTAAAGGTGTATTTCTCTCTATTTTTACAAAAATTAAATAAAGAAA